TGGAGACAGACTGGAGGAGCAGGAGTTCAAGGCCAGCCTGGCTACATGACACTTCCCACTAAAAAACAAAAAAAAGGGCATCCCCAAATGCCTACTAATATAAACCGCCAGCTACATATGACACAAGCAATGCTGGAGTAAAGCAACACAGATCCAGGACCACACTGCAGTTGGAGATCTAGTTACGCTGTCATGCTCTTCTGTGGGACAGTCACGTCAGACAGCACACACTGATCATATCGATAAGGTTTTATTATTTTTAAAAATAGTATTGAAATTTTTTTCCTAATCATAACAGAAATATTTGGGGGATGGGGAGATGGCTTGGGACCATAAAAATGAGAGCTGTGCTAGACTTCGGTGCTTCCTGCCGGACATCCTTCATGTTAGTTACTTTTCTTGCTACTGGACCAAATACCTGAAAAAAGCAACTTAAGGGAGGAAGAAAGGGTTTACGCTATCTCCCAGTTCAGAGGGCTCCATCCTCCGTGGTGGGAAGGCATGGTAGCCAGAATGGTTGGCCCATGGTTTCAAACAGGAAGCAGAGGAAGGGGAAGTCATTACCCCCCTAGCCTTCCACAGTCTGTGGGATGCCACTGCTCTCAGTCAGGAGGGTCTTTCCTGCCTGGTTAAAGCTCTCAGGGAATACCCTCACAGAAACAAAAGGTATGTCTCATAAACATAACCACCACCACATCTCCACCAATCAGTTTGTACATATAACCTTTGGGGAAATAACATTTTTTAACTTTTTATTGATTCTTTGTCATTTTCACATTACCCACACAAATCCTTCTCATGACTGTGTCCCTTTGTATCCACCCTTTGCCCTTGCAACCTCCCCAGTAAAAGAAAGGAAGAAAGGAAGGAAGGAAGGAAGGAAGGAAGGAAGGAAGGAAGGAGAAAAAGAAAGAAAGAAAGAAAGAAAGAAAGAAAGAAAGAAAGAAAAGAGAGAAAGAAAGAAAAGAAAGAAAAGAGAAAAAGAAAGGAGAGAAAGAAGGAAAGAAAGAAAGAAAGAAAGAAGAAAATCAAAGCACAGAAAACATCTCGTCATTGAAAACATCTTGTCGTGTGTGTCAAAGTGTGTCCCACAGTATACCCTTTTGTCCACACACCTTTACTTGGAAATACGCATTACAAGTCATTGGTCTGGTTCAAGGCCTCTGGCTTCTATGACACCATCCATACTGGATCGTCATCCTCACACTGACTCCTCTAGGATATCCTGTTGTCCTGTCACTGGAGGGCCTGAGCTTTGGATCTGCAGGACCATCCATTTCACGAGTTCCAGCAGCTCACAGATGGGCTAGATACTGGGATGGGCCAGCCCAAAGCCCTGGATCTGGCTGAGCTGGTCAGCCCAACAGTCTTTAACCTAGCACTACTTACTGGCGGTGATTTTCCCAGCTTAAAGTCTTTGTAGAATGATTTTACGCTATATATATATATATATATATATATATATATATATATATATACCATAATTTATTCTCCTGTACTGAATTTAGATTGGTAGAAAACATTTCATAAAATATACTATAATATATACATGACAAGTTATTTTTAAAGTGAGCATTTATGTGTTCTAGATGAATGGGAATTTTCAATGAAACAATCTGCCAATCAGTTACCAAGAAAAAGATTTAAGAATTGTGATTTATGAAAACAAATTATCAAAGACAATAGTCAAGCCCAGTAAGTAGGAACTATGGAGAACCAAGCTTCTAAATAGGTTTTGGAAAATGACTTTATGCATTCCTTCCTTAAGGTAGCAATGAACGACTGCAGACTAAGACTTCTGAATTACTGATAGCCACACTTACAAAGAAGCGCCCAGAGAGGACTCATTTCCCATTCTGTTCATTCAACAAGCAAGTATTTTATTGAGTAATTATTATCCGATAGATAATTATAAGCTGCATTAACATAATAATAGAGCATCTTTGTTTAATGTTCCAGGAAATGAGCAGTATTTAAAACACTTTACCAAAATAGGAAAGATAACTCCCCACAGCCCCTAATGCAGAGCACCCTCACTCAACTTACCACCCCATATCTGCCCTTTGACCCACTGAGAGCGGAGACAAACGTCACATCTGTATTTTCTATTTCTGCCATAAAATGGAACTCCAATATAGGTTTGCCAAATAATTAGTTTTTTTAAAGTTTATTTTGTAGACTGAATCCAGGGCTTTGCACTGCAGCACAGAGCTACACCCCCCCAGTCACTATCAGACTTACAACAGGTTTTTTTTTTTCATTCCTAATTAAAGGTAGCATGTTTATACAGATGAAAAACGTACGTAATGCTTTTGAAGACACAAGCTGTACTTTACTACCCATGCGCCTTTCAGGCTCGACAAACATAAAGGCTGCATAATATTCCTTCAGATAAGTAAGAAAATTATTTTCTTTACGTTGTCTTCATAGGCTATCTCAATGTCTGTACATTAGCATAGGCTATCTCAATGTCTGTATGTTGCCATAGGTTATCTCAATGTCTGTACGGTGCATAGCTAGAACTGCTTATAAGCCACACGGATATAACCCTCATTGGGAAGAGTAGGCTACATTCTAGAAAAAGTAATATTTTAGATAAAATTAATTTTGAGAAAGAAAGAGAGATTGTGTCCCCAAAGGCTGTGTGTTGTGTGAGAAGCACATGCCTGTGCTTGCAGAAGTCAGAGACTGGTGTCTCTTATCACTTTCCACCTTGTATATTATTTTTTGGGACAGGGTCTCCAAATGAAACTCAAGCTTAGTATTTTGGCTACAGGACTGGACAGAAGCCCTGGGGATCTTTCTGTCACTGTCTTCCAAGCACTGGGTTACAGATGCATGCTACCACATCCAGCTTTACGTGGGTGCTGGAAATATGAGCCCTGGTACCCATGCCTGTACAGCAAGCAGTTCACACAGTGAACAAATCATCACCCCACCCCCAGGAAGACAGAATTTTGAAAGACAAAGAAATACTCGTAGAAACCAAATTCAAATTCTATTTTTAAAGATAAATCAAGTATTTATTGGCAGCAATTTAATCATAAGACAGGTCTAGTAAAGGTAGACCAAGCTCAGCAGGAATGCCTCACACATATTTGGTACAGACTAGATCTAGGGAAGGCAGCAGAAATTATGAAGTAGTCAATAAGATATCTATCTTATCTAGACACAGTAGCTCGCACACATACAATCCTACCACTCTGGAAGCTAACACAGGATTGCCCTGGAGTCTGAAGCCTGGACTACACATGGAACTCTAGGCTCACCCAGACTACAGTCTAAGACTCGGCTAAAACAGAAAGGGTGCAAGAACAAGGAGAGGAAATCTGCTATCTCCTCAGAGCCTCCATGTTTACAAAGGAATGCACGCTACACCTCCAATTCCTTCAATGCTCTGAGCCCAGTCAGTTTCTCGGGTGCACAACAGGAAGCAAAGCTGGGCTTTTCCCTCCATTTATAGAATGACAGACAGACACATTTAAATCTTGACCTTACATAGAGTAAAATCAGCTAACTATATTCTAGACATTAGCTATTGTACATGCTCCTTTAACAAACTAACGTTGAACGTGTACCACTGTATCTCTCCAGTCCGGCCCTTCAGTCATTACTGACCTGCTTCCTTTGTTAAAGATGTGAGAGAAGGAAAAAAGGAAGGTAGGTGTCTCGATTAGAGTTACTATTGCTATGGTGAAACATCATGACCAAAGCAATTTGGAGAGGAAGGGGGTTTATTTAGCTTACAACACTTCCATATCAAGGTTCATCATTAAAGGAAATCAAGACGACGAAGTCAAACAGGAACCTGAATGGAGGAGCTGACGCATGGAGGAGTGCTGCTTACTGACTTGCTCAGCCTGCTTTCCTATAGACTCCGGGACTGCCAGCCCCGACTGACAATGCCCACCACGGGCTGGGCCCTCCAGCGTCAATCAGTAAAACAATGTCTACTGCCTGATCTTAAGGAAACATTTTCTCAATCAAGGTTCCCGCCTCTCAGATGACTCTAGCTTGTGTTGAGCTGACATAAAAACAGTAAGTACAATAGGAAAAACAGTTTAAATTATAACTTAATTACCTCCGTCTATATTGCTAATAATTAGGTCTAAAAGAGGCAATGTAATATATTAAAGGTAACTTCATTTCAGAGAGCAAGGGGGTCCAAAGGTAAGCCCAAACAGGTCATTTTACAAAGAAATCATTCCATTCCATTCATAACGGTGTCAAATTATTTAGTAAGCCCAATGAAAGATACCTACGTATAAGTCTGGATTGTTTACATGACTTGCCATACAAGCATGCCCACACAAAATCAAAGTTACCAAATACATAATAACAAATACATTATTTAAGACATCAATTCTATAGGAGTTGTTTAGTTTATGGAACCTCTCGGTGCTCCGAAGTTCCATTCCACGCACTACAAAAGCGCGTGCCATGACAAAGACCTGCAACACGAATATACAAAGAACCGCTTCTAAAAAAAAAAAAAAAAACCGCCCCTACAGCCAAGTTCACAGCTGGCACTTGTGGCACACTCAAGACACGGCCGAGGCAGCTGTCACAGGCCAATCACACACACCCAAGAGTGCCAGCGTGACACCTCAAGAAGGCAGGCTGATGGTCAGCGCAGGGGTGTTCCCGGAATAAAGAAAAACCCTAAACACTGGCTCGGGAGAGCACAAAGCCTGACCGACTCCCCAAACTCCCTTCAGAAAGTGAAAGGGTGGAGGCTGCAAAGCAATTCCTTAGCCGGTTATAGCCGGGGTAAGAGAAGGTTTTGTGTGGCACCCGGGAGAAAGGAACCGAGGCAGCCAGGCGGTGCAGTCATCAGGTCTCCACCGGGAGCAAGAGGGGGCGGCTCTGCAGCCCCAACCCCAGCCCAGACCCCCCGCACCAGCCCCAGGCCCAGCCCCAGCCCCGCGGCCCGGCCTCTCCCCCAGCCCCCGCCCCGGGTCACCGCCTCCAGACGCGGCCCGCGGCCGCTGCGCTCCTACCTTCGCCTTGCCAGCCGCCAGCTTCCTTTGCCTCTCCTCGTCCTCCATGGCGTCTGCAGGGTAGGCTGGGACGCAGTGGAGAGGAAAGATCTGTTTAGAACGAGGCGGACAGAGCTCCGCGGCCACTCGGGACAAGGCTAGGCGCTCACCGGCGACTCGTGCCGGGCTGCACGGGCCCCGCGGTCACCGCCGCCATCTTCGTCTCCACGTAAACACACGGCGGCCGGCGGGGCGGAGCGGGCGGTCGGCGCAGCCGCGAGCGGGGCCCGGCAGGTGCGTGTGCCCGCCCGGCTCGACCGAGTCAGAGGGCTCGGGGTCCGGCGGCGTGACACCCGCTCCTCCCGGGACCCGGTGCTTGGAACGGGCCGCACTGCATCTCCAAATTCAAAAGCAGCGGCGGCCTCATAACGGGGAAGCCGCGGTGGAAAGGGCGAGGGCGGGACCCTCAACCCCGGGGAGCCGGAGGGCCCCCTGCTCCTTCCCTAACCCCAAATCCCGCCCTCAGTTCCCCCAGAGGTTCCCTCTCTACCCATAGTCTTCCGCCCTTCCCCGTGCGCTGGAAGAAAGGGTCTACTTCCAGAGCTTTCTCCTAACTCTTTGTTCTATGGAGTGAAGCTGAGACACTCTAGGGGCTTCTCCTTGGCAACTGTGTTCCTAAGGAACTCGAATTCGCAATCTTAAGTTAGGGACAAAACCAGTCTACCCTAACTTTCTCCTCCCCCACCCTCCATTAATTTATTCATTCACTTTACATCCTGACCTCAGCCCTCCTCTCCTCCCAGGCCCACACACACACACACACACACACACACACACCATGACCTCTCTAAGCTTACCCCTTTCCCCTTCACCTCTGAGGTACATCTTACCTCAGAAGAAAGGGCTGGAAAAAGGTTTTCCAAGCAAGAGGGGACAAGCTAACTTTGTAACTTTAATGACCTTAAAACAGCTATGCTTCTTCTCTGACTTTACCTGGAGTTTTTGGACGAGTTTAATATTTATGACTGTTCCTGGAATGTGAAAACGCCCGAACCTTTGTCCTAGAAAGTTCTTAAAATGGCTAGTGTGAAAGATTATGTCCAATAAACTTTGTTACATTTAATTGAGCCGTGCTTGTAAATTGATTAGCATCTTTCCTCCCCATCTGCTCTGGCAATCCTTTCTTTCCTTCCCCTCACTCCCTCTTTCCCCTCTCCCGCCCCTCAAATCCATTCCTAGAGTGAACCATTTTAGTGTCTCAAATTGATCCTTTCTTCTTTGTTTTAGCATAGGTTGGACTGAAAAATTAGCAGGTAAGAACTAAAGATATTAATTTAATCAGAGAAGCAGTGTTAAATGGATATGCACATGAAAAGGGGAGACTAAAAACCTTAAGTCTGTCAGACACCAAAGATGTTTCTGATACCCGTAATTTAGAAATCTTATATTTCAAACAGAATTGTGCCGACTTAAAACAACCTAGTGTATATTGCCCTATTTTCTCAGCTGGAACTGGGGACGTGAGATCAGATACCTCATCATAGGAATAAAAGAAATTAAAAGACAGGGATCAGAGAGAGGAGTGGTTTTCTCAGTAGTGACCCACCACCCTGTGTAGAGCTAAGTCTAGAATGAAGTGTTCCAAACTGCCTGGAGTAAGTGATTATCTGTTGACTCTGATTACCTAGGAGAAGGAAGCCCAGGATATCTGGCAGATTTCCTGTTTGTTAATGAACTCCGTTTTCTCAGGGGCTCATGAGGGCAACCCTTTGTTACAATTTGTTCCATCTTTGTAACTAAAGATGTTCATGATCTGCTAAAAGTTGCAAGATTATTTCTGCACTTCCCTTCAGTAGTTATCAATTATAATCTGTACCTGTCTGTCTCAGGTATAGAGGCTGCTCAGTGACATAGCTGATCTATTGTCAGGGCATGTCCGTGGAATTACTGCTGTTTCTTATGACACCTGTTCAATCATGTGTCCATGTCATTTACTCATATAATTCAAACAAAAGGAAAAATCTTGATTGATACACCTCCTTTTATAGAATAGGAAACAGAGAACTTGAGTGGTTAAATCACTTGACAACTTTCCATGGTTGGGTAATGGAAGTCGTAGCTAGTGCTGATGCCAAACCTCTGACGTTAAGTCTTTTTCTGTTAAGCTGGCTGTTTCCAAACAACAGAATAAACATCAGGATTTACAGAGGTTCTTTTGTATGTGTGGTCTGAGTGTACTTGTTCATGTATGTTTACATGTGTGGAAGTCAGATATGTGTTCATGTGCTTCTAGAAGGTGGAGGTTGGCATTGGGGTCTTCCTTGGTCACTTTTCATATGTGTATTGAGGCAGGGTCTGTCGCTGGAACTAAGACCTTGACAAATTAGCTAATCCTAGCTAGCCAGCCTGCTTCCCAAGTCCCACCCATCTCTGCTTCTCTCTGGGTTCTGGCTGTGCCTGTTCAGCATTAGCGTGACTGGGATGCAAACTGTTCCTCACACATGCGTGCGGTCACTTTTCCTCCGGAGCAACCCCTGCAGCCCCAACAGTGGGGTTTTAAAGGACTAAATATGTATTTATAAAATGTGTTCAATAAAATAAGTTTCAAAATGAAAAGTCCTTTGAAATAACTTACTAAAAAAAAAAGAACCTATAATCAGTGAAAGTGGTCTATAATCTAAATGAAATCAGAGAAATTTCAGGTACTACTCTTACAAAGGATGTAATTACAGGCCAATAATCCAAGAGAGTGCAATTAATTACTGACTAATAGAATATATGAACACAAAATTCAGATCTGCAAGGGCCTTTACCTCACTAAGTAATTGTAGCATATAAACTATGAGCTCCCAAATAGTATGACAAAGGCCCATGGAGTCTTTATATTCACGATAAGATACATTTATTCTAAGTAGAGTTTTGTATTACTCTTGCTAGCGAGCTTGCTGGAAGGTGCTGTGGCTACGGTGATGATGAATGACTCAGTCTCGCTGAGCTACAGAACACTTAAGATGGGACACACAAAGAAAACGTGCTCTCCCAAGTCAGAGCAGTGCAAAATCCAAACCAATTTTAGCTCTGACTTGAAGAATGTACAAACCTAATCCCATCTTCTCCTTCTTGCCACCAGCATGTCTTATGTGTTAAGAGAATTCAGGTCATTAGAGTTTTCCATGAGACCTGTCCCGCTGTATTTTCTTCCTTCTTAGAAGTACCTGGGGTAACTCTATAGCTCAAAAGATAACATCCTGGGATGGCTTACATAACACCATACACTTGCACAGATCTACCATTGCCAAGGGTAACTGGGGTACATGTTTTCTTTCAGTTTTAAGGAGTATAATGAGTACATTTTATGTATACTGTATAATATTTAAATTTTTCAAATTTTTTAATATAAAATTTTATCCCTACATAGTTTCATCCAAGAAACTAGAAGTATACCTCCATTGTGAAGATACATAAAAAATTTTTGTTTTAAAAATCCAAAATCAAAAGAAAGTGGAAAACAATCTCCTTTTAAAAAGAAACATATATCTCATATCCACACAAGTCATGTATACATACATCATGTATATACATACGTACATGAAAACAATAAATTAAAAAAAAGAATTCCATAAGATCACAATAATCCAAATCCAGAATTTAAGACTGTCTCTGACTGCATGATTATTATTCATGATTCTTCTCTAGTGGAAAGGATTGTCAAATCCTTTCATTCATATATATATATATGTATATATATATATATATATGTATATATATATACATATATATAGTGGGTACAATTTAAATTGTTTCCTAACAAGCAATTTTTTAAAAATATATTTTTGAGTTATAGGAAGTTATTGACTACTAAGAAAAGAACCAGCCTTCCCCAGTAACGAGTATCCTAATTGGTTATTCAGTGACATGTCATCAGCCCTAAAATATACATCTATACAAGTTACTGGATGGGCACAGCAGGTTGTAGCTATACATTATATGCATGTATACATGTAATAAAAATTATTAAAGACAAAGAGGCCATGGATTTGAGAGGAGGGACACAGGAAGGAGGGGAGACACAGGAAGGGGGATTAGAGGGAAGAGAGGAAAGTGGAAAAGGATAAAACCACAGTACTGCATAAAATTCTCAAAGAAAATTTCAAAATACAGTTTTGGAACAATGTCAATTCTTTGAATGTGTAGTATGTTTTTAGATAATTATTATAGAATTATTTTAATTTTAATCAATAAAACAGAAGTGGTTAGAAGTTTGTTAGAAGGAATTTAATTTTGACTGTTGGAGGCCAATATCAAATATCATCAGTTCTAAACTTTATATATAAAATGACAGTAAAACATGGTAATTAATGGTTTAAAAACCATTAGTTGGCCTTCGGCCCCTGCCTGGTCCCTTGGACTGGAGCAGACACAGAGTCGGTCTGCTCCTGTCCTGTGGAGAAACTGAATCCTGAGTCATCCAGGAGCCACTGCACTCAGAGCAGCTGGTAAGAACTCCATCTCACTCCCTAAGCCCCAGAAAAACATCTGGGAGCCAGGGACATCCAGGGCACAGCAGCTACCCAAACCCCGCCCCTCCGGAATTCCACTTCCCTTCGGCCCCTGCCTGGTCCCTGGGACTGGAGCAGACACAGAGTAGGTCTGCTCCTGTCCTGTGGAGAAACTGAATCCTGAGTCATCGAGAAGTCACTACACTCAGAGCAGCTGAAACTGAATTCTGAGTCATCAGGGACCCACTGCACTCAGAGCAGCTGGAGCCACTGCACTCAGAGCAGCTGACACAGAGTTGGTCTGCTCCTGTCCTGTGGAGAAACTGAATCCTGAGTCATCTAGGAGCCACTGCACTCAGAGCAGCTGAAACTGAATCCTGAGTCATCGAGAACCCACTGCACTCAGAGCAGCCTAGGAGCCACTGCACTCAGAACAGAAGGATTACCAGATCCAAGAGGTGGCCTGGGTCCCAGGAGTTCTTCCACCCGGGAGATTAGGGGCATAAGACCACAGAGACCTCTGGACTCCGAGGAGCTCTGCAATAAGCAAGATAACTGGAAATACAGATT